CAGGGGTCTCCAATCTTGGCCACTTTAAGACTTGTGGACTTCAACTCCCAGAATTCCTCAGCCAGTCGGGAATGATAGAGTTGGAAGAGACCGGAAGGGTTATCTAAGTCAGGGGTCTCCAATCTTGGCCACTTTAAGACTTGTGCACTTCAACTCCCAGAATTCCTCAGCCAGTCGGGAATGATAGAGTTGGAAGAGACCGGAAGGGTTATCTAAGTCAGGGGTCTCCAACCTTGGCCACTTTAAGACTTGTGCACTTCAACTCCCAGAATTCCTCAGCCAGCCGGGAATGATAGAGTTGGAAGGGACCAGAAGGGCCATCTAAGTCAGGGGTCTCCAATCTTGGCCACTTTAAGACTTGTGGACTTCAACTCCCAGAATTACCCAGCCAGCCAGGAATGATAGAGTTGGAAGAGGCCAGAAAGGTTATCTAAGTCAGGGGTTTCTAACCGTGGCCACTTTAAGGCTTCTGGACTTCAATTCCCAGAGTTCAATACTGGGAGTTGAGTCCACAAGTCTTAAAATGGCTGAGGTTGGAGACCCCTGGTTTAGGGTCTCCTGCTTGAGCAGGCGGATGGACTAGAAGACCTCCAAGGTCCCTCCCAACTCAATTATTATTCTGTAATCCCACCTGTCCGCCTTCCCCCTTGCAGCTGAACGCAACGAGTGGATCAAAGCCGTGCAGAAGATGGTGGACGAGAAGAAGACCAGGTGCCTTCACAGAACTTCCCGTCTGCAACCGGCCAGCAGCAGCAGCGTTGACTCCGTGGACAAGAATGGACCCCTGGAGTTGAGGGGCTTCAAAAGCAAGCTCTATGTGGCCGTGGCTGGGGAGAAGGTCTTCCTCTACAAGAATGCCGAGGTGCGTGGAGGGTCCTAGGAAGAAAGAAATCTTGTGCAACCAGGTTGGGGTTGGGCTGGATGACCTGATGGACCCCTTCAGGGAACTAGCAAATATTTCAGATGCAGTCCAGGTGGAAAATGCTGCTGGATTGGATGACCTACAGGGGGGGGGGGGGGGATCTCCAAGCTTGGGAACTTTGAAGACTTGTGGACTTCCAACTCCCAGAATTCCTCAGCCAGCTGTGAGGAATTCTGGGAGTTGAAGTCCACAAGACTTGGAGAGCCCTGAGCTACAGGATCACTTCTGGGTAGGGTTACATAGAATGCATTTATTATAATTTATTTAAAAACGTTATCTGCCCAAGTCACACACGGTGAACTCCTAATGGATTACCAAAATAAAACTTCAATAAATTTAGCAAATAAATAAATAATAAAAATTTAAAAACTCAATAATTCACGGATTCAGACCATTTGCAAAATGCTGTTGGCCTGGATGAACTACAGATCCCTTTTGGGCTCAGGCATAGTTCGATTATTATTATTATTGTTGTTATAATGTAGTACCCAGATTGTTGGGGGAAGAGGCTGACTGTAAACCACTTAGAGAGGGCAGGAAAGCACTATGAGTGGTATATAAGTCTAAGTGCTATTGCTATTATTATTACAAACTTTTATTCATTAAACAAATAAAATAAAAGTTTATAATAATAATAGCAATAGCAATAGCAGACTTATATACTGCTCATAGTTCTTTCTTTCTTTCTTTCTTTCTTTCTTTCTTTCTTTCTTTCTTTCTTTCTTTCTTTCTTTCTTTCTTTCTTTCTTTCTTTCTTTCTT